CATTTAGCATATAATGCTGTTTGAATACAAGATGGAAACAATGCCTCTGTAGCCACAAAGAATATCAAAGAAGTTTATGGATATTTTTTGAATGTTTGTAAGTGTCAATGATGGTTCAGCAAATTTTGTTCAGGTGACTTTAGCCTTAAAACTGTGATGACAGGGGCCAACATGTCGGAATTGATATTGATGCTCTGAAGATGCTTGTTGAGTCTAACCCAAGGCAACAAACTTGTGAAATGGCCCTGAAATTGCACATCTCTCATAAAACAATACGTAAAAATCTAAGGAATATGAGAAAACTCCATAAAGAAGATGTTTGAGTGACTCACAAACTCTCCGATGATCATTGTTTCCAACGTGTGAATGTTGCTTCGTTTCTTCTGACGTGTAATGCGCATGAACCATTTTTGGACAGAATTGTCACAGGTGATGAAAAATGGATTCTCTATGCGAATATTAAATGCCAAAATAATGGCTCAGACAAAACCACTTCCGACCCCAAAACCTGGACTTCATCCCCAGAAAGTGATGCTTTGCATTTGGTGAGACATCAAAGGAGTAATTCATTTCAAACTCTTCAATCCACAGCAAACTGTCAATGCAGAGATCTGTAGTCAGAAACTGGAACATTTAAATCAAGCCCTTCACTCATTAATCAGATCTGGTGTTGTTCTTCTCCATGACAATGCACATCCACATGTGGCATGTTTAACACAACACAAGATTATGTAGTTTGGTTGGGAAGTTCTCCCTCACCCACCATATTCTCCATATATGGCACCATCAGATTACCATCTTTTTCGTTTGCTCAACACCATCTTAATGGGAAAACATATGCAAATATGGACGGTGTTAAAGAGGACATCAACATATTTTTTGCTTCAAAGGCAAGTGATTTCTTTACTCAGAACATTAACAACCTGATTGTAACATGGAAAAGCATCATCGATATGAATGGAGGCTATTTCATATAATAAATGTTTTGTTTGATATACAAGTTGTTCTGGTTTTCTCATCTAAAAAAAAGTGACATTAATTTATTGGTGACCTAATAGATACAATACTCAAATTACTGTGTACAAGAAAATGCATCTACTTTTGTAACGTGTTTAGCTAATAATAAATATATATTCTTGTTAAGTAACATAAATGCAGCATGATATTGTAACTAAGAGGTTTGGTGATTTTTTAAATAATGAAAATAACCAAAAAATTCACATACCATTGGATTCCACAGTCACAAATTAGTAGACTTACACTGCGAGTTCAATTATTTAGTTAACAATTAATGAAAAACAATTAAAAATCATACCTGTTGGTTGACATTTCGCTGCATGCTACCTTCCCTTTGGAATAGTGTTAACAAAATGTCAGTGATTAATTACAAATTATCACTTTATTTGGTAACCTGATACTGCAGGACACCCACGTCAGGGTAAGATAAAATGTAGTCCCAATAAAGTCCATCAATTTCAGACTCATACATGTATATTCATATTATGTGGATAAATAAAATGAAAATTGTCAATAGTCAAATGTTAATAATGAAGTATGAGTTTACCTATGTACCTATGAAAGAAATGGTGAGATTTTGTAATCACACTGGTTGTAAACTTGAAATACAGTGACTGACAGATAGGTATCAATAGTAACCACTACCTATTCTAAATCATGTCATGATGTAATTGATACATGCTACTTTTAGAATAGACTATTGTACTACAGCCACACCTAATGATATGACTTATAGCAAACTGTTGTCAGGATAACATAGTATGTTTACACCCAATTATGTAAAGCAAGTAGTTGCTGTGAGTTCGAGTTGGGCAGACATATCTAGTTATCAGTTTATGCATTATGTTATCCACATCACAAAGTTTATTGTATGGCATTGTTTCTACAAGTTCAATGTCTAAAAAGAATTTCAAATGGTTTTAAAGTTTTGTGTGTTTTCAAATAGAAGACGAAAGTAAAGAATGAAGAGAGCTGTTGTTTGATGTATCAGTGATCCTTATTGGTTCAGCCAATTGGAACCAACACCCTTTTTTAGTTTTAACATTCACTTGCTGGTTGCTGACAAATTGCAATGTTTTTAAAGCTGATTTACAACTTGTGGGAGTACAGTTGCCTTGAAATAAATCATGCAAATTCAGCATGTATTTGAACTGTAGACATTTTCATTTGATTTTTGGTGTACAATAATTACTATTTTGTTTATGTGAGATATATATATATATATATTCACAACCAAGATTTTGCATTCACACACACTTCTGTGGCCAGGAACTATAATTCTCTGAGACCCCCTACTGCTAGGTAACACAACAGAAGGACCATAATGTTAGGTAGCACAGAAGAATAGGCCATACTTTTAGGTAAAACAACAGCAATACCATATTAATATGTTACATACATAACAACAGGATCATAATATTATGTATCACAACAGTAGGACTATACTGCTGCGTAACACAACACTAAAACCTTATTGTTATGTAACACAGCAGTAAGATCTTATTGTTAGATAGCATGATAGCAAAGCCCTATTTTTAAACAATACAAAAGCAAAATCTTGTTGTTACACAACAGTTGAATTGTATTATTACATGATACAATAAACTTACTGTTGCACTACATAAGAATCATATTGTTCTAACAGCAGGACCATACTGTTTTGTAAATTAGTTTCACACATACTTTATAACAAATAATTTATGAACTCTTTCAGAATCAATGAGTGATTATTTAGAGTATTAACCTATAAATGGTTGGTTCCTGCACCATTCTTTCATCTCCCACAACACCAGGCACAAACTGGTAGGCTAAACCATTGTTAAAGGCTAAATACACAGGTGCTGCTAGACCTGCTGAATGCATAAGTTCCATGTTCTGTAGCTCATCTTTTCGATCAATGAACAAGTCAGTATTTCTTCCATATACACGTATTAGAACCATGTCTTCAGGGTCACTAGGTAAGTAGCAGCCTAGTAAACGATTTGTCACACCATCAGTAAACACCTGAAGGTGAAAAGAAAAAGTAATAATTATTTAAGTTAAAAATCTCACACATTTAACACAAAATTGTTAGAACTCCTAAAAAAGCATTCAAATAATAAAAATAATAATAATCTGACCTACTCCTGTTTAATATAATGAGCACAATTATGTAAATAACATGCATTATTGTGCTTACTAAATACTAGTTTAATGGCCATAATTTACACAATAATCTTAGATGATTTGATTCAAAAATAAATATTTCTTCAAAAATACAAATACATCTTATTGACAGTCCTTCATATGAATGACTAAACCTTTATCATTAGCTTGAACTATATGATCAGCTTGCATAAAAATCACATTTTAAAGATTATTGGGGCTTTGCATAGTTTTGTGTACCTTTTTTAAAGCAACAATATTTATCATCTATTGAAAAAGCACATGCCTAAAGAAATTTCCAACTAATAATTTTGTCTTTTTAATAGTGTGTAAACATTTAAAAATGCTTTTTGCCAGGATGGTGGACACTGAGGTCAGAGCTACTACTGGTTTTCACAAGATAAAGCTAATCATCATCATCTCTGTTTGACCAAAACTTGCAACCCCCCGATGTACCTACATTATGTGCACACTTATATTTAAATACTTACTTTGAAACAGATATCACTCGATTTCCAGTTCTTCCTTACATGCTTTAACACTTCAAGTGAACCATTCTTTAACATTTCCACAGAAGAATCAGGCACTGTTATATCTAACCTCTGAGGTGGCATACTTGACAACCAACTGCTTGTATAACCTTTTCATAAACTTGATAGGAAGCACTTAATACCTCTCTCTCTCTAAAATTGCACAGAAATGACCAAAAAGTTATTTTACAGAACTAATTAAATTTTCTTAATGTGCATGCATTAATCATGTTGATGTACCTAAGACAAAAGTGTGAAGTATTTTAGTGTGGGTATTTCAGTGAAGGAAAAGTAATGTATAGTTGTGGGTTAACTACCATGTTTTTATTTTTATATGAAAATATATTATTTACTTTTTCCAACGTTGTTATAATAATATCTCATTTTGAATACAGTATTTAAAATACAGTGACATACATTACAGTGTGCAAAATTGTTACTTGCATTATGAAGTTTATGATATTTAAAATATTGGATGATTAAATGGATGACTAACAGTGTAAAAGTCAACCAAATGGGAAATGAAGTACACAGAAGAAGGTATGAAAGGGTCATTAAGTCCGCCGAGATCTTCCCTGATGAAAATAAACTGCAAACGTTAAAAGAAATCCAACTTATAATTAGTCCTTCACATCTGTATCACCATTCAACAATGTTTGAAATAATTCAAACTAATAAAACATAGCACATCATAACATAAACAGCTCCATAAGTTGAAAACTCCATGTGTATAACTTATCCCACAATATTCACATTTGTATTTCTATCCTTTTCATATCATCATTCAAACAGAGGAACAAAAAGAAAGTTGTCCAAACTCCCAACAAAACTTTATATCTGAATTAAGTCTTCCTGTTACTTCCAATTCCAGAGAAAACAAGTAGAAAACCCTTAGTACTTGCTCTCATTAATAAATTAATCCAAGTATTAGTCTAGTACCCCATCTCAAGCTAGAGTTGCCACCTGGCCATTTTTATGGATTTGCTTGTTGTCAAGAAAAACAGTTTAACCTGAACTTTTTTTTAAATAATTCAATTAGGTCCCTTCTAACTCTTATTTTTTCAAAAGAAATCAATTTCAGAAATCTTAACCTGTCCTCATATGACAATCTTTCCACACCATGCATTATCCTAAGAGCCCTTCTATGAACCATTTCCAGTAATGCAATGTACTTCCTAAGGAAGGGGAGCCCATGAATGATCACAATGTTACAAATGTGATCTAGCCAGAGACCTAAACAATGAAATTATAACCTCTCTCAATATTTCTGTACATACAATCTAAAATCTTATTTGATTTACTACTAGCAACAGCATATTACTTGGATGGCTTAAAATATTAATCAATCAGAACACCAAATATCCTTCTCTTCCTTAATACTGTTCACATCAAAATAATACTTACAATTCAAATTGTAACCCACATGTACTACTTTACATTTATTACAATAAATGTCCATCTTCCATTTATCCACACAATTTGACAAACAAATCCTTTTGCAAAGCAGCATTCTACTCCTCATAGCTAGAAACACCTTAATATCTTCAGCAAGTTTAAATATATCACTGAACATAAGTAAAACAGTGTTAAACCCTTTAGCTTTCTTCCATAATATTGCTCCCTTCAAAACCTGTTCAATTATTAATATTGTCCTTGACTTTATTTTTGCTGTTACCTGAAATACAAAAACCTCTTGACTCACATTTGACGTTTTGAGTAATGAAACTTTTTTCTAAGCCTTAGCAGCACCAATCTTCATTTTTATTTTTATAAATCAAAGCACAAAATAAAGGTCTGCAAACATAAAATTATTGATTTTTATTTTACTTGTTAAACACACAGGAAAAGATAAGAACCAATGTTAAATTTTCATGAAATCCTTATAATAAATATACCAGAATGCATCTCAGAGCATCTAGAATTTAAAAAGTTCAAACCTGTAGCATTCCTTTTTGTGCTTTTCACATTTTACTTTTTTTAAGTTTTGGATGAGCACTTATTAAACCCTGGCTAATACTTTGCCCATCACTATCATTAATGTAAATATATAAAAAAAAAGCAAAGGTTCAAACACTAACCTCTGAGGCCTTCACTAGTCACAAGGGTCCAGTTTAATTGGATTACATCAATAACAACCTTTTAGGTTTCTTTTGTCCAACTACCTTACAATTCAATTAACTACTCTTTCTCTAATACCTATTAGTATTACTGACACAATTTTGTTAGCTAATCAATTGTGAGGTACCTTTTAAAAAGTTAAGAAGGCCAAGTCAACATCCTTTTTATTCACTAGATAACAAGTAACATCCTCCAAAAGAAGATAACATAATAGTAAGGCCAGATTTTCCTTTGGTGTATCAATTTTGGCTTTCTTTGATATTGTATTTCATTAAACTATTTTATAAAGATTCTCTTACCAGACTCCAGCATTTTTTTTCCACAACAGAAGTCAGGCCAATTGACCTATAATTTCCAAGACAACTCTTATTACCTCCTTTAAAAACAGGATTAACCTATGAACTTTCCAATCCTCATGCACCCACTGTCTATTGACCTACCAAAAATGAGAGAGAGCCTTTGATACCTGACTTTTTTACCTCCTTTAAAACCCTGGAGAAAATATTGTCTAGTGCTGGTACCTTATCTGTTTTTAATCTCTTAACTCTTTAAACCCGTAATTTTTAGCTCGTTCTGCCATTGATCTGAAATTTGTTTCAAAACAAATGACAATGCTTCACTGAACTTCTGGTCTATTAATAAAAGGTGGATAATAACATGGTTGGATTAATAATAGGTAGGCAAACAACAATTTATAAGCATAAGGAAAAGTTTTATTGATCATGGAACATACTACATGTTTCAACAGAACATTGGTCTGTCTTCTTCCTTAGTTAAATATGGTTGGATTAGTTTCAGCCAAAAAGAAATAAATGTTATCAGATGATGTCACTGTCCGATGTGTAAATCAGGATTTTCACTTTCAGTCGGATGCTAGCACCATCCGCTTAGGTTTAAGGAGTCAATCTTTCTACCAAGGGATTAATATCTACATGACTCAGGCCAACTACAATGTTTCCCATAGTATGCTGAGGACCAAGAATAGTGCTCAACATCCTCTCTTGTACAAACAGAAGAAAATATTTAAAACCTCAGCCATTTCATAGTCTCCAACTAAACTCTTTCCACTGCTACCTTATAAAGTTCCAGTTTTATTTTTCTAACAAAATCAAGCCCTAATTTTTTTAAGTATTCATCAAGCATTTTCTTGAACTCTCCCAATCCTGTTGTGTTTACCACATCTGATGCCAATCTATTCCAAAGGCTGACTACCCTGTTCATAAAATAAAATTGCCTAGTTACAGATGACTTTTACCTGCCAAATTTTAAATCTTTGTCTTCTTACTATTAAAAATAAAGTTGGTTCATCAATCCTATTAATTAATTTTTAATTTTGAACACATCAACCAAATTCCCTCTAATCCTTCTTTTCTGAAAAGAAAATAATTTCAACTTAAGGACCTTAAGTTAACCTGTCTTCATATGACAGCCTCTAGCCTCTACATCACAGGAATCATCATAACTAGTAGTAGTCCTCCTTTTCCTAACACCTGATTCAGGCAGCAATTGTCTTTCTTAAGATATGGAGACCAAGACTGAACAAAATAGTGTTAATACTCCAACTTCCAAGTCCAAATGAGGCCTAACAACTGGATCTGTACAAAGAAATGATATCTTTCTGTTTTTCAAGTCCTAGTCAGAGACCAAGATTTATAGCAAATTATACTAGAACTTAGAATTATGAAGACTGCTATTGCTAACAAGTTAATGTTAGTCTATGCACAGATGCTAAAGTTTGGTTAAATTTCAAGCTAAAACCAGAGTATTATTAAATAAAAATACTGCAGCCAGTGCAGTTGAGCTTCAAAATCAAAGTTCATTTATACATAACTTTTTGGTCATATAATTAGTAATTCTAACTACAGTACAGTACACTGTACAGATCTACAAATTACAGTAAACTTAAGTTTAATAATATTAAGCTCTTGTCCGCCACTATTGGAAAAAAATAATAATACTCAAACCTGTCCTTTCTATCTTTCACTGATAATTGCTTATATAATAAACTAATATAAATAAACAAGTGAAAGTAAGCAAAGTTCGACGTAAACGATATTAACTATTAATTCTCTCGTTTCTTGTCTCGCTCACGTTACCTTAGTCTGCAAATTGTAATTCGACTTCAAATCATGTCAACAACTTCAAAGGGACGTTTCATATTAAAGAATACGTTTGCGATAAAAATATTTGTTTTACACGTCAATCGAAAACACAAAAGTAAAGGTTGATATTTTTTTTATATGAAGATTTAAAAATATTTTCTTTTTATAGTTTCGACTTGAAACATTCTATTTTAAGAATAACTTTACAAATGTACCTAAAGCCTATAATTCTATCGTTTCAGTACCAGAAGATAAATCACTTTAGTCATTTTCCATAACAAAATACAAAATACTTTATAAGGCGGTTTCATGTCCAACAATACAAATTAAAGATACTGATATTGCCTGTTTTAATAATAGAAGAAATAAAGCTCAAAATAATAAAGTTATAAATATTTTAAAAAGTAAAATATTGTTGCGTCAGCGAGGTCACGTGACTAGTATTACGCCACGTCCTTCTCTCGAACCTTCGTGAATTATCGGGAGACTAGTAGATTGGGGGTAGATGGTATATATAAGATGGTCACAACGTGACGAGGTAATGAGTAATTGAACTGCAGTCAGAGAGTATTGTTGAAGTTGAGCACGTGAGACGTTCGTTGTTATAGCGTTT